TCCTACAGTGGGCGGTTCTTCATTCTCCCATATCTCCAGATATCTTTGTACTTGTGTACGTCCAGCTTACCTAAATAGTCTTAACTTCATAGCTCCTCTCCCTCAAGCTTTGCCACTAGATGCAAAAACCTGGGAAGCCCGATAGCAGACCTTGCTAGTAAAGACCATGCTTCAGGTGTTGGGTACTTCAGTTTTTGTGTACCTTTCATCATCAGGTTGCTTCCTGGTTTAGCAGCTGAATTACACTTTCCTCAATGTGACTTTTGCTCGTGGTGTACCTGTAGAAGCGTTTCTTCTTGCCTTTTACATCCCTCTTCAATATCAACTCCAGACAAGCTTAGGCCTCCCTGTTTCAGTCTCTGCTTGCCCAGATAGCGCATCTATATTCTCCTCCAGCTGGCTGTTCCTGCTTTCATGTTACATACGTTTGTTTTGCTTGAACTCAGTCAGTGAGGAGTCCCATGTACAGTCAGCTGACCTCCTGCTGTGCCTGCTGGTTTTCTTGCATGTTGGGGAGGCTTGTTTTTGGGCTCCGAGGGGAGAGTTCAGGAAGATGACTTGCTGTCATGGGCTCTTTTTTAGCTTCCCAGGACATTCTGCTTACCATTCTCTGAGCAAGCCCCAACTCTACTGTTGTGATTCCAGAGGCTTTAATCTACTGCTTTCCTTCCTTTCTTTCCTTAAGATCTTACACTTCCATTTCACAATTGCTGCATCCTAGGCTACTGTTTGCTGTCATATGAGCAGTTCTTCCTGATTCATGAGTACCAGATCCTGCACAACCCCTCCCTTAGGAACCTGTTCAGCACCAGCGTCAAAAATTGTTCCCAGTGCATGCGAGAAATTCTCCGGATACTTCACGCCCTGCTATGCTGCCCTTCCGATAGATGATGTGTGATATCCTTGCTCAAAAAACCCCAAAGCAACACCAGCCAAACAAAACCCGCCTTCCTTCTCCTCCATCCTCATGTCCTCCTATCTCCTCATATGGGAGATAACTTCTTGTTACAAGTACTCAGTGAGCCAACTGAAAAAAGATGCCCTCCTAGACTTGCTATTTGTGAATAGAGAAGGACTTGTGGAAGATGTGGCTGTCTTGGCCACAGTGATCATGAAATGCTTGAGTTGAAAATTTTCAGTGTAATAAGAGAAAAACACAGCAGAAGTGCTACCTTGGACTTCAAGAGAGCAAGCTATTTGGGGGAGCTACTTAACAGAGTACCCTGGGAATCTGCTTTTGAGGGCTCAGGAGTCCATGTGTGCAAGTCAGTTTTTAAAAATGACCTTTTAGAAGCACAGGAGCAAGCAACTCCACTGTGTCGGAAGTCAAGCAAGCAGTTGATCAGCTTGACAGAACAGGGAAATCCTCATGGAGCTCAAGAGGAAAAAAACTGTATGACCTCTGGAAGCAAGCTCAGGCTTTGCAGGAAGATTACAGAGCTATGGTTCGTGTGTGCAGGGAGGAGACACAAAAGGCTAAAACTCAATCGGGGTTGAAACTGGCTAGTGTTGTTTCAGATAACAAGAAAGGCTTTTTAAAGTACATTAATAGCAAGAGGAGGTCTAAAGAAAGCATTGAACCGTTACTTGTTGAAGATGGTCATGTCACTAATGGGGATGAAGAAAAAAAACATGGAGGCAATCAATGCATTTTTTGCCTCGATCTTTAATAATACAGATAGACCTTGGGCTGCCCAGTCCTCTGAGTCAGAGGACCATGAGTGTGGGAACACTGACTTTCCATTTGTGGACACCGAACTTGTAAGGGCCCAGCTGTATCAGCCGAATGTTCACAAGTCCATGGGGCCTGATGGGATTCATCCCAGAGTACTGACAGAGCTAGCAGATGTTACAGCAGAACCTCTCTCAATCATCTACTAAAGCGCTTGGGAGTCTGAGGATGTCCCTGCTGACTGGAAGCAAGCCAGCGTGTGAAGGAGGCCCCAGGGAACTACAGACCTGTTAGTCTAACCTCAGTTCCTGGAAAAATTACGGAGAAGATTATACTAGGTACTACTGAAAGGCGTTTAAAGTATAATGCAATCATCAGGCCCAGTCAACATGGGTTCACAAAAGGAAAGTCCTGTCTAACTAATTTCGTATCCTTCTATGATAAGGTTATCCGCCTAGTGGATGAAAGGGAGGTGGTAGATATAGTTTTTCTGGATTTTAGTAGGACTTTTGATACTCTCCCTCACAGCATCCTTCTGGACAAGTTGTCCAGCTGTGGGATGAGCAGGTTCACGGTGTGCTGGGTGAAGATCTGGCTGAAGGGCGGAGCTCAAAGGGTTGTAGTGAATAGGGCCACACCTGGCTGGCAACCAGTCACCAGCAGTGTTCCTCATGGCTCAATCCTAGGGCCAGTTCGAGTCAATATATTTATCAGTGTTCTGGATGCAGGTGTTGAATGGACTATTAACAAGTTTGCTGACGATACCAAACTGGGAGGTGCTGTTGACTCTCTTGAGAGACAAGAGGCTTTGCAAAGGGATCTGGGTAGATTGGAGCATTGGGCAATGATTAACGGGATGAAACTTAACAAGTCCAAATGCTGGATTCTACACCTGGGACGGAGTAATGCCAGGCACAAGTATAAATTGGGAGAGGAGTGACTGGAGAGCAGCCTTGCAGAAAGGGATCTGGGGGTGCTGGTTGACGGCAGGCTCAATATGAGTCAGCAGTGTGCCCTGGCAGCCAAGAGGGCAAACCACTTCCTGGGGTGCATCAGACACAGCGTAACCAGCTGATCAAAAGAAGTGATAATCCTGCTGTATTCAGCGTTGGTGTGGCCTCACCCTGAGTACTGTGTGCAGTTCTGGGCCCCACAATTTAAGAAGGATGTGAAGGTCCTTGAAACGTGTCCAGAGGAGGGCAAAAAAGCTGGTGAAAGGACTGAAAGGAATGTCCTATGAGGAGCAACTGAGAACTTTGGGCTTGTCTAGTTCGGATAAAAAGAGGCTAAGAGGCAACCTCAGTGCTGTCTACAGCTTCCTGAGGAGGGGACATGGAGAGCGAGGTGCTTATCTCTTCTCCCTGGTATCCAGTGATAGGATGCATGAGAATGGTTCAAAGCTGCAGCGGGGAGGTTTAGAGTGGGCATTAGGAATCATTTCTTTACTAAGAGGGTAGTCAAGCACTGGAACAGGTGTCCTAGAGAGGAGGTTGATGCCCCAAGCCTGTCAGTGTTTGAGGCATTTGGATAATGCCCTCAGTAATGTGCTTTAACTGTTGGTCAGCCCTGAATTGGTCAGGCAGTTGGAATAGGTGGTCATTTTAGGTCCCTTCCAACTGAAATACTCTCTTCTCTTCTCGCTCCTCTCGTCTCTTCCTGCCCACCAGCCCTGAGAGTGCTGTCAGAGCGATGGCTTGTGCTTCTGCTTTAGAGTGCCAAAGGGAGATGAATCTCAGTCAAGATGACCTTCCTACAGTTTTTTCTTAGCTGCCCATTGATGCAAAAGCCTTCAGGAGCATCTGCTGATGTTGTTGGGTTGCTCCTGCACTCTGAACAATGAGTGAAGAGAGTGAAGAGTGTGCCTGTGTTTCTTCTGTCCCTGTATTTGAGCAGATGCCTTTGCAAGTTGAGAGATTGTTGTCTTGCCTTTCACAGAGTCCAGCCCAGTTCTTGATCTCAAGGCAGAATATGTTGGTGTGACCTCTATCAACTTAACATGGGCAGTGAGCAACACTGCTTCCAACTCCTACACGTACATGATAGAGGTTGTAAATGGTACCTCTGTTACGAACCTGACGTCCAATGTCACCGAAGCCTTAATTACCGAGTTAATCCCTGGGACAATGTACAATTTCACAGTATTTGCAGTAGCGACTGATGGTCAGACGGAAGGAGAAGGAGTGTCCTTAAGCCTGTACACAAGTAAGTCACAGTTTCTTGTAGCTCTGTTTCTGGTGGATCATATTTTGCTGTGTAGCTCAGGGCTCTGCCTGAGGGTTGAAATTTAACGCAAGCCTTACCTGGGCTGTTGACTAATGGAGTGCTAATGTACAGAGAAATCATAGCCCCAGTTTTATTGATTTATTACCTTTTTAAAAACCACCGAACTCCCTCCAACCCCACACCCTGAAACAAAAAGTCCCCCACAACAACGACAAAATCAAAAACCAACCAATCAAGCAAAACAACCCCCTTCCTTCCCCACCATACTAAACCCTTCTTATCCACCTCTCTAGATTCCCAGGGGAAGCCTTAGGAGCACTGGGACAGCAGTGACCTCTGCTCCTGCTTTAGAGTGTTAAAAGGAGATGAATCCCACTCAGAATGACTTCTCTTCAGTTGTCTTAGCTGCCCATTGATGCAAAAGCCTCCAGGAGCATCTGCTGATGTTGTCGGAGTGCTCCTGTACTCTGAACGATGAGTGATGTGAAGAAAGTGAAGTAGTGGTGTATCTGTGTTTCTTCTGTCCATGTTTGTGAGCAAATGTTCTTGCAGGTTGACGGATTGTTGTCTTGCCTTTTACAGAGTCCAGCCCAGTTTTTGATCTCAAGGCAGAATATGTTGGTGTGACCTCTATCAACTTAACATGGGCGGGGAACGACACTGTTTCCAACTCCTACACGTACATGATAGAGGTTGTAAGTGGTACCTCTGTTTGGAACCTGACATCCAATGTCAACAAAACTGAAATTACTGAGTTAGTCCCTGGGACGATGTACAATTTCACAGTATTTGCAGTAGCGACTGATGGTCAGACGGAAGGAAGAGGAGTGTCCATAAGCCTGTACACAAGTAAGGAAATCATGCCTTTCAATTGCAAGTAAACTTTCCGTTTGTACTGAATTGCCTCGCTCTCTTGCCTTGGATTTCCAACTTTCTGCTATTTCTCGTTGTGATGTTGCTTTGCTCCAGGTGCTGGTAATCATGAATGCCAGGTGATCTTTGGTAAAAGGGAAAGGACTGAGATTGTATGTGTTGGTGTGTTGCCCATAAAGCAGTTATTTCATCAGCTTGGCTGCTCAAGACTATGTAGAGATCCAGCTGGTACAACAGCACAACTTTCCCTAAACTTGAGAGCTGAGTAGACCCTCAACAATGCTTCTGGGAGCAGGTTGTCACAGTTTATACCAAAGGACATGGTGTACAGGGATGCGGTGGCCAGGATCATAGAGACTTTTTGCTCTTGAAGATCGTTTTTGCTCTTTTCAGAGTCCCTGGCCTAGGGCTCCTGTGGGCTGTGATGTTGCCTAGGGTCACATCATCAAGTGTGGTTCCAGTTTTGTGGGCTTTGCACTATGGCACCTTTTTTCCAGATCAAAGGAATAGATGGGACAAGAAGAACTTTTGTGTCTAGCTCAGGGGTGGAAAGGGAACAGGCAACGTCCCTACAAAGCAATTAGAAGCAGTGTGTCCTGGAGCTATTACTGAGTAGATGAGCTTGTCTAAGCTTCCTGAGGTGAGTCTTGTCTGCCTAGTGTTGATGCTGAATCAGGTTTGCAGACACAGCCCTCCAGGGTGGGTCAGCTGTTGGACCTGCTCATGGAGCCCATTTCCTTCTGCTGATGTTGAGGAGACGCTGGGCTGAAGGGCTCAGATTAAGACTTGAGGGTGCAATTTTGAGTCAACAGACCAAGATCACCCTACACTCTGCTTCCTTCCCTGAGTTCCATCTCTTTCTCTCTCTGGAAACCCACTGTGGAAACAAGTAATTTTAGCATATGAAATGAAATAAAGAGAATATCCTGTAGAACTCCTGTGGCCTTTCCAGAGATGCCCCAGCATGAATGTCTGAAACTGGACATTGATACTGTAGAAGTGCTGCTTGACTACAAGTAGTGCTGATTTTGTGAAACAGGGAAATGTGTCTTTGGCTCTTCTTTCTTTATTTCTCTGTCTTGACGGATTGTTGTCTTGCCTTTCACAGAGCCCAGCCCAGTTCTTGAACTCAAGGCAGAATATGTTGGTGTGACTTCTGTCAACTTAACATGGGCGGTGAACGACACTACTTCCAACTCCTACACATACGTGATAGTGGTTGAAAGTGATACTTCCGTTTGGAACCTGACATCCAATGTCAACAAAACTGAAATTACCGAGTTGATCCCTGGGACAATGTACAATTTCACAGTATTTGCAGTAGCGACTGATGGTCAGATGGAAGGAGAAGGAGTGTCCATAAGCCTGTACACAAGTAAGTCAGTTTCTTGCAGCCCTGTTTCTGGAGGACTGTATTTTGCTAAGCCTACTGCCTGGGGGTTGTAATTTAATACTGTTGCAGGTAGAGGTGATGTTTTGATCCTAGAGCTGGAGCTGGCCAGTCTGCCAAGCATGGGATGGTAAAGTGCAAAAGAAGCATTGCTCTGACAGAAGGTTGTAGTTGAAGTTTGTACCCAAGGCTGGCAACACAGAAGAGATTTTTCCCTGAGGACCTTTCCCTTCTGAATTTGGGAAAGGGAGTTACATTCATTTCCTAGAGGGTGAGGGTCTTGGGCCCTTATTTTAAGGGGCTCCCACACAGAGCATGTTATGCCAGGGGAACTTTTGTGATTTTGGGGGCCCATACCTGCCATCGGGCTGCAGTAGGAGACTGAAATTTAGGCAGTGCTAGTTTGTGAGAACTGCTTTGGCCATCCAGCACCTTGCTGTGTTGAGTATCAAAAGTCTTGACACGTGTTGTTGGAAGGACTATTTTGGAGCTGGCCTGCAAGGCTGTAGCCCAGCCTGGTCAATTCCACAGGGTGTATTTGAAAGGAAATAGATGCCTATTCTTGTCATTTGTTTTGTCCTGAAACATACCTGCAGGTGTGCTCCTACCTTCCCAGTCGCTTCCCAGAAGTCTTTCCTGTGCTGCCTCACTGTAAAGGCTAGTTGCCCTGTTTTGAAGATGCTCAGAGAATAGGGTGCTGGAGAGAGGGTTTTTGGAGATGGTCTCTCTGCCATGGTAGTGAGCTTCAGGGCATGAGGGCTGGAGAAGGAGCAGGGTGCCTGGATCACCCCCTCTCTTCCTCTTCCAGTGATGTTTGATGTTCCTTACTTTGTGCTGTGCACAGATATACCACCGTTGTCTTTCTCTTCCACTCTTCTTCCTGCCCATCTCTCTGGATTGCCAGGGGAAACCCTTGGAGTGTGGGCACCATGGTGACCTGTGCTCCTGCTTTTGAGTGTGAAAGGAAGGTGAATTATACTTGAGATGCCTCTTCCTCATTTTTCTCTCAGCTGCTCATTGATGCAATAGTCTCCAGGAGCATCTGCTGATGTTGTCGGGGTGCTCCTGCACTCTGAACAATGAGTGGTGTGAAAAGAATGAAGCAGTGGTGTGCCTGTGTGTCGAGGTTTTAGGCCGATCTGGCAACTAAACTCCATGCAGCCGCTCTCTCACTCCAGTAAAGTGGAGAGGAGAAAAATATAACAAAAGGACTGAGGGTCGAGACAAGAACAGAGGGGGAGCGCCCACCAACCACGGTCCCGGGCAAAACAGACTCGGCTTTCTTAAAGCAAAGAAATTTATTAACAGTTGCTTAAAAGAATAAAGACAAGCAAGGCCAGTTACTTAAAAGGATAAAAAGAAAACAAGGCCAGATCTTAAAAACAACACCTCTCCACCCCCCTTTCCTTTTCTTCCCGGCTCTACCTCCTCCCCCCAGTGGCACAGGGGGACAGAGAATGGGGGAGTGCAGGTCAGTTCATTTCATGTTGTTACTGCCGCTCCTTTCTTAAAGAAGAAGGAGTCCTTACACCATTTTCCCTTGCTCCAGTGGATCCCCTACTCATGAGGAAAATCCACAAACTTCTCCAGCGTGAGTCCTACTCGCAGGATGCAATCCTTCCCCAACAGATTGCTCCGATGTGGGCTTTACCACAGTCTTGGATTCTTAGGGAGTTGTTGCCACTCGCTCTGGCATGGGTCGTCATGTAGACTCTAAATGTGTCTCTATACAGACTTTAAATGCGTCTCTACCTGTGCCCATAATTCACAATTGTCCTCAGGCTCAGGCATCTCCTCTAAACAAAACACCTCCCCACTGACGGGGGTCGTCCCATGGACTCTAGATGCGTACCGTCCTCAGGCTCAGGCATCTCTTCTCGACGTGGGTTCTCCAACGGCTGCGAGTGGGTCTCTTCTCTGCTCCACCGGGACCACCTTTGGCTGCAAGAGGGTCGCTTGCCGTCTCGCCACCGTTGCAGGGGAAACTCAGCTCTGGCACACCTCGTCCCATTCCATCTTCACTGACCTGGTGTCGGTGTGACCGTTTCTCTCAGATCTCAGTCCTCTCTGGGTGAACTCAGCCCAGTGGGCACCCCAGGAGCGGGGTGCTCACTGAGTTCCCCAAGTGGCTCCGCTGCCGCCATCCTCAGCGGGTGGTGCCAGCCCAGTGTGGGCCACCGCCCGGCCGGGCGCCAGGGAGCGGGGTCAGCGCCCCCCTCCCCTCTCCTCGCTCCTGGGCAAAGGCACACAGCTTTCCAGTTCCTTTGTCCCAAAGTAAATAGGGCAATTCGCAGAGGCGCCGATTGGCTCAAGCCCCGAGGGGGATGGGAGTCCGATCTGGTGGGCAGCTTCTGCCACCAGAACTCCCCCCTCCACATCAAACCATGACACTGTGTTTCTTCTGTCTCTGTATGTGAGCAGATGTTCTTGCAGGTTGACGGATTGTTGTTTTGTCTTTCACAGAGCCCAGCCCAGTTCTTGATCTCAAGGCAGAATATGTTGGTGTGACTTCTGTCAACTTAACATGGGCAGTGAATGACACTGCTTCCAACTCCTACACGTACAGGATAGAGGTTGTAAATGGTACCTCTGTTTGGAACCTGACATCCAATATCACCGAAGCTGAAATTACCGAGTTAAACCCTGGGACAATGTACAATTTCACAGTATTTGCAGTAGCGAACGATGATCAGACGGAAGGAGAAGGAGTTTCCATAAGCCTGTACACAAGTAAGTCACAGTTGCTTACAGCCCTGTTCCTGGCGGATCATATTTTACTGTGCAGCTCAGGGTTCTGCCTACCTGCCTGAGGTTGAAATTTAGTTCTGTTGGAGGCAATGGTGCTATGCTTCGCCTACTTGCAGTCAGAGATGTTAGTGGGAAGAACCACCTTCTTAAAACCAAAGTGAAACAAACCCCCTCAAAAACAGTTGTTGAAAGTGCTCACCAAGGCCTGTGACACCATGAAGGAACTCTTCCTGACAACCTGCCTCCCTGGCCTGGGTTTTGTGTGGGATTTTTCTGCCTTCACTTGTTGGACAAGGAGGGTCTCAGATCCTTGTTTTAAAGGGCTCCCACAGGGAGAGCATGTTATGCCCAGGGAACTTTCGTGATTTGGGGGCCTGTGGCTGCCACTGGGCTGCAGCAGAAGAGTGAGCTGCTCAGGAGTGAGCTCAGGTCATGAAGGGGTGGTGAAGGAGCAGGGTGCCTGGGTCATCACCTCTGTTCTTCCAGTGACAGTTGATGTTCCTTACCTTTTGCTGGGCACAGACACACCATGTCTTTTCCCATGTTCCCGTGCAACATTGTATCTTTCCTGCCCACCTCTCTGTATTCCCAAGGAAAACCCTTGGAGCACTGGCACTGTGGTGACCTGTGCTTCTGGTTTTGAATGAGAAAGGAAGATGAATCCCACTTGAGATGCCTCTTCCTCATTTTTCTCTCAGCTGCCCATTGATGCAAAAGCCTCCAGGAGCATCTGGTGATGTTGTTGGAGTGCTCCTGCACTCTGAACGATGAGTGATGTGAAAAGAGTGAAGTAGTGGTGTGCCTGTGTTTCTGTTGTCCCTGTATGTGAGCAGATGTTCTTGCAGGTTGACGGATTGTTGTTTTACCTTTCACAGAGCCCAGTGCAATCCATGATCTGAAGGCAGAATATGTTGGTGTGGCTTCTGTCAACTTAACATGGGCAGTGAACGACACTGCTTCCAACTCCTACACGTACAGGATAGAGGTTGTAAGTGGTACCTCTGTTTGGAACCTGACGTCCAATATCACCGAAGCTGAAATTACCGAGTTAATCCCTGGGACGATGTACAGTTTCACAGTATTTGCAGTAGCGACTGATGGTCAGACGGAAGGAGAAGGAGTTTCCATAAGCCTGTACACAAGTAAGTCACAGTTGCTTACAGCCCTGTTCCTGGTGGATCATATTTTACTGTGCAGCTCAGGGTTCTGCCTACCTGCTGAGGTTGAAATACAACATTGTTTCGGGCAGAAGTGCCGCACGCGGCCTACCTGCAGTCAGCGTTGCTAACCTGGGGAATGGGGTTCTGTGGGAGGTTCTGTTGCCTTCTCATCTTTGTGGATTGTGTGCCCTCCATTGGAGGGGCCTGTGGCTGCCACTGTGGGCAGTGCTGTGCTGTGTGGCTCTCAGCCACACCGCTCTGCTGTAGCTCATTGGCAAAGAGAAGGTTGAGGTGTTCTTGTGTTCCCCGTGTTAGGCGTTGTGACTACTTTTCCCCTTGTTGTGAATGTGTGCTGCTGGGTCCTTTCCTTCATTTTGTCTTGTTTTAACTGAGATGAGGTGAATCTGTCCCAGAGCTGCTCAGTGAGGTTTCCAGAGGTGCCTCAGGATAAACCCATTAAGAGAGGCTCTGGTACCATGAAAGTACTGCTTGTCTGCTCATAATGCTCAGTCTGTCCAAAATGTGGAAGCGTGGCTGTGCCTCTGCTTTTTCTGTGCTTGTCGGCAAATATCTGTGAGCATTGATGGAGTCCTGTCTTGACTTTCACAGAGCCCGTCTCCATTTTCAATATCCATGTGTAGTATGCTGGTCTCTGATTTTTCCCATGGAGCACGGATGATATTTCTGACTACACCTGCAGGACAGAGATCCAAAGTCATGGTTCCTCCTGTAGAAAGCAGACACCCATTGTCACCAGAAGTTATTACAGACATAAATGATGGAACCTTCTAAAATCTCACTCTATTTGTAGGAGTCGCTGACAGCGTTACTGAAGAAAAAGAAATATTTATAACATGCAGTAGGAATAAGTCCAGGTCACTCACATCTATCTTTTAACTAAATCAATTTCTTCTGGTACACTATTCTGCTGCTCCTTAGTTTCTTAAAATAATACCCCCTTTTAATATCAAAATAATTTAATCTTTTACCCCTGTATTTAGAAGTACCAAATACTTCTTTTTCAAGAGAAGAAGTAAATTTGCTGTGTGTTACAATTGTAGAAGGTACAAGAGTTTTGGTCTTGAAGGAGAAATTTTATAAGATGTTCAGTTTAGAGGGACCTCTCTTCTCAGTGTTACCGCTACATTAAATATTAAAAATATTAAATTATTTATTAATAATAAATTAAACAAAAGCACATTTTAAATATCTTTTTGTATCTAGTCATCAGGCTGCAATTTTTATATCGTGTCCTGTAGGACTCTCGCACAAACTGACATCAGGTAGTTGCTGCTCTTAAGGATGGCTACTGCTCTGCTCTTACTGCATGGAGCTTATATTCCTTTTCTTGCTGGCCACTAAGAGCTTTACATAATTATACAGGGAGTCAGTGTCAATCTAAACACTGCTCTAAAAATACTCTTGGAGGAGTATGTTCAGTGGTTGAACAGTATTTTGAAAACTTTGGTCAACCTAAATTTTCCCGGTTAACCTGTCTGCAGAGGAGTTAGCCCAGAAGAGGCCCGTGTGCTAAACACTTCTCTTCCTCATAGGGCAGCGAGTCCTTGTAGGCAGTAGCTTCATCTTTTTAAAAGTGGAAAGGAATGCTGAAGTTTTACAAACGTTTATACACAGAACTTACAAATAGACAGCTTTTTCTATTTACTACATTGATTTATTAGTCCTCTTTTTGTTATTCTTTTTTTTTTTTCCAGTTCCTATGTTAGTGAATTCATTTCAGTGTGAACCAGTGGCCAAGGAGTCTAACCTAATATTGACGTGGGAATGTCCTTCTGGTAACAATTCTGGCTTCAAAATTAAAATATTTAATGATACGTGGGAAACAGAAGAACGGAGTCCATCCTGCGTGAGAGAAGGCTCAGAGGAAACCTTCAGTACAGCACCTTTAGATTATTACAGCACCTATAATGTTACTATTGCAACTCTTTCAAATGGTTCTGAAAGCCCTTCAGTGCAGAAACTGTGTAATACGAGCATTACTGGTAAGCATTAAGATTTGAGAATGATATTCATAGGACCAAAAATATCAACTTCATGATTTCAGGACACTAGCCTTGATATGCAGTATGTTATCAGCCTCCAGATGACGAATAAAACGCTACATTCATGCAAATTCTAATGTGACACACAATAAGTATGCATTATATGAAGAGTATTGGTATTACAGTGTTTTCTTGTTTGGAATACTTGTCTTTATCCTTCATTAAGGGACAAAAAAATATTTCTGTCTATAGACCCACCTGCTCCAAGCGAAGGTCCTTTAGTCAAGGCAGTCAGTCACAGCTCGTTGTCTGTTGAATTCTCTGATTTTGACTCGGTGAATGGACCATTAAAAGCCTACGCGGTAATGATCACAACAGAAGACCAAGGTAAGATGTTACGATATTATCTTGTAGCTGTGTGAAACAATTTATCAGACAGCATTAGGTTTTAAACTCTAAGTAGGTGTTAAATAGATTGTTGTCGTTTAGCCCAACCAGCAGCTAAGCCACTATGTGACCACTCGCTCACTCCATCCAACTCGGTGGGATGGGGAGGAGAAATCGAAAGAAAAAGGTAAAACTCATGGATTGGGCTAAGGACAGTTTAATAGGACAGCACAGAAAGAGAGAAGGGATAACAACACCACCACTACTAATAAAAGAATGATACAAAATGAGGGATATAATTGCTCACCACCAGATCAGTTCTCACCTGATCTTCAATGCCCTCATGTATATCTGTGTGTGTGTGTATGGGCCATCCCTGTAACGTGTCCATTGAGTTCATTTTTAATCCATGACTTTGGGGTTCCATCTGTCATAACAGTCTTTCAGGGCATGAGAGATGGTGTGTGTGTGGCGTTAGGTTGTTGCACGCTCATGGCTGGTGTATCTGGCACGATCCATGTCCACTGGTTGAAGATGTCAATCTCAAGGAAGTTGCTGGACACCAGTTGCTGAAGCCGGTTCTAGTTCCGTCCTTGTTGCACTTAGCTCAGTTTCATCAAGGTCCATCCTTCTTTAATTTGGGTGATTCTTACTGTTTTACATCATGTAGTCATGATGACATACATGGCAGGGTTATTTTAGCAACTAACATTGTACAGTTTAATTCACTGGCTGTTCCCTCTCAAAATCAAATCCTCTTGAGGTACACATCGGACTTCCTCATCCTTCTGCAACACCCACCAAGTGCACTCAGGTCCCTGGGCAAAAGTAATTCCACGTCTGGATTTGCCTTTGCCTGAGGAAGGACTAACCCAGACTGCCTTCCCTAACATTCATGTCCACTATGAGGATTTTATCCCCTTCTGCAGTATGTGGGAGTTTTGATTGAGCAAGGCCAGCTTGATGGGCAAATCCTCTAGTGTTAACTAGCCAGGTGGCTTTTAATAAATGTATATCCTAATGTTTGAAAGTTCCACCACTCATTGCTCTTAGTGTAGTTTTTAGCAGTCCGTTGTATCGTTCATTTTTCCTGGAGGCTAGTGCACGATAGGGGATGTGATACACCCACTTAATGCCATGTTCTTTGGCCCAAGTATCTACGAGGTTGTTGTGGAAATGAGTCACGTTGTCTGACTGAATTCCTTCTGAGGTGCCATGCTGCCATGAGACTTGTTTTTCGGTGTCCAGGATGATGTTTCAGGTGGTGGCATGGGGCACAGGGTATGTTTCCAGCCATCCAGTTGTTGCTTCCACCCTTGTGAGCACATGGCGCTTGCCTCGGCGAGTTTGTGGGAGTGCCATATAATCAATCTGCCAGGCCTCCCCATATTTATATTTTGACCGTTGTCCTCCATGCCAGAAAGGTTTTAGCTGCTTGGCTTGCTTGATTGCAGCACATGTTGAACACTCATGGATAACCTGTGCAACAGTGTCCATGGTTAAGTCCACCCCTCAATCACAAGCCCATCTGTATGTTGCATCCCTTCCTTCATGGCCTGAGGTATCATGGGCCCAACCAGCTAAAAATTTTTCACCCTCATGTTGCCAGTCCAGATCCACCTGAGCCACTTCAGTGCTAGCAACCTGATCCACCTGTTGGTTGTTTTGATATTCTTCAGTGGCTCGACTCTTGGGTATGTGAGCGTCTATATGATGTTCCTTCACAACTAGCTTTTCTACCCGTGCAGTGATATCTTGCCACAACGGGGCAGCCCACATGGGTTTGCCTCTATGTTGCCAGTTGCTCTGCTTCCACTGCTGTAACCACTGCCAGAGAGCATTTGCCACTGTCCGTGAGTTCAGGTAGAGACAGAGCACTGGCCACTTTTCTCACTGAGCAATATCTAAAGCCAGTGGATGGCTTTCGTCTCTGCAAACTGACTCAATTCACCTTCTCCTTCAGCAGCTTCTGCAACTCGTCACGTAGTACTCCACACAGCAGCACCACACATTGAATGCCTTTGATGTTTTCCTACGATGCGGCAGGACCCATCTGTGAACAGGACATATTGCTTTTCACTCTCTGATAGTTTATTATACGGTGCGGCCTCATCAGCACGTGTCACCTCCTCCTCTGGTGACATCTTGGCCTTATGGCTGGTTTGTGATCCTTTCCAAAATTCCTAGATGACTGGAGTTTCCTGTCTGAGCCCTTTCTGTGATCGGTGTGACCCATTTACTGCACGTGGCATCAGTTGCGTGATGTGTAGAGCAGACCCTCCCTTTGAACATCCAGCCCAGCACCAGCAGTCAGGGTGCCAGGAGGAACTGCGCTTCAGTGCCAACCATTTCTGAAGCAGCTTGGACTCCTTCATATGCTGCCAGTATCTCCTTTCACTTGGCGTATTGCGAGCCTGCGATCCTCTGTACCCCTGACTCCAAAACTGGAGGAGTCAATTTGAAGTTTCCCCAGGTGCTTTCTGCCAGAGACTCCAGGTAGGGCCATTCTTCCCATCTGTGGTGTAGAGCACATTTTGACATTTTGTCCTGCCCAGACTGGCCCAAGGGCTACCACATGAACAATCTCCTGTTTAGTTTGTTCAAAGGCTTGCTGTTGCTCAGAACTCCATTTAAAAATCATCGTTCTTCCAGGTCACTTGTTAGAGAGGGCTCACAATTAGGCTGTGCATCCTCGAAAAACCCACAACGCCTAGGAAGGCTTGTGGGGTTTTTTTACCAGTCGGTGGGGACATAGCTGCTATTTTGTTGATCGCTTCCATTGAGATATGACAATGCTCATCTTGCCATTTTATTCCTAAGAACTGGCTCTCCTGTGCAGGTCCCTTGACCTTACGTCATTTTATGGCAAAACCAGCCTTCAGAAGGATTTGAACTATTTTCTTCCCTTTCTCAAAAACTTCGTCTGCTGTGTTGCCCTATATGATGATGTCATCGATGTACTGCAGGTGTTCTGGAGCCTCTGCAGAAGCAGTCTGGATCAGTATATGGCAATTGGTGGGGCTCTTTCCACCCCTGGGGCAGTCAATTCCAGGTGTACTAGACACCCCTTCAAGTGGAAGTGAACTGTGGCCTGCAGTCTGTTGCCAAAGGGATTGAGAAAAACACGTTAGTGATATCAGTTGTGGTGTACCGCTTGGCTGCCTTTGACTCCAGTTCGTACTGAAGTTCCAGCATATCCAGCACAGCAGCACTCAGCGGCGGGGCGGCTTCATTCAAGCCACGACTGTTCGTCTCCACTCTCCATTAGACTTGTGCACTGGCCATATGGGACTGGGGAAGGGGAAATGAGTTTTGCTGATCACCCGTTGGCTCTCCAGCTGACAAATCAGCTCATGAATGGGGATCAGAGAGTCTGGATTGGTGCGATATTGCTGCCAGTGCACCATCATAGTAGCAATTGACACCTGTTGTGGCATTGCTGAGGGTTGAAGAACACCAGATGGATCCTCTGAGGGACCAGACAACTGTTCAGTTTCCACTGTCTCCATGGCAGCTATACCAAAAGCCCACCAGTACCCTTTTGAGTCCTTGAAATACCCCCTCCAGTCACAATGGAGTGCTTTTGCCACTCATTCCCAGTTAGACTCATTTCAAGTTCCAATGCTGTTAGCTCTTGGGATCCCCCTGTCACTCTAGAAATACAGATGGATTCGGCCCCTTTATGGTTTCATTGCATTAGGGTAGACTGTGTGCCAGTGTCCACTAGAGCCTTACGCTCCTGTGAGTCTGACGTGCCAGGCCATTGAATCCACCCAGTCCAATAAACCCTGTTATCCCTTTCCTCCACCTGACTGGAGGCGGGGTCCCTCTAGTCCTGGTCAAAGTATTTGTTGCTCACTTTTTGTAAAAATGAATTAGAAATCCCTTCAAGAGGATCAGAAGTGGGATCAGCCCTTCTACACTGTCTGGGGAACTGCCTGCTGGAAACTGGAGTGGCATTTTTTCCTGGAAGAATCCCTTTTTGTATTTGTTTTTCCTTGCAACTCATTCACCCGTGCCTTTAGGATTGAGGTAGGTTTTCCATTTCACTTCCTCATGTCCTCTCTGCGGTCACACAGGTAAAACCACAGGGTACCCCATGATGTGTACCCTCTATATTCTCTTGTGATCAGGGAACGCTGACTTCTAATAGCTGAGATATGCGTCTGTACAGATGGAGAGTAGGACATGTCCTCTTTGAATTACAGAAAGTCCTGGGACTTTTCATAACTATCCAGCATCAGGATGGGTCTCTGTCTGATATTTTTAAGTAGTTGTTAAACCCCAAACCGGACCTGAAACACCTTCAGGGGACACAGCAATAAGAGGGGGTTGGCTAGAGCACTCCCAGAATATTCAAAATCCTCAAAGGCTGTTGTAATTAGCCTGAATGAGAAAGGGGGCGTGCGTGGAAAAAACAGGGTAAAGTATCGCCCCTCTATCTTCCCCATAGTTCGAGTGCAATTACTAATAAAATCTGAGAGCTGATGCCTGAGGTACGGGCATGATGCCAGTGCCACATACAAACGCCAGCTTAACCTCGTGGCCAGTAGTGTTACCGTATCATAAGTCAATATTCCACAGAACAGCAAAATGAGAGCCCTGATCCCTCTCCCAGAGGCGATAAACAGCACCACAGTGAATACATAGGGCATACAAGGATTTACGTAACGCAACCATGTGAACAACCAGAACAGCATTATGGCCAGCGACTATTTAACTCGTAGAATAACTCATGCAATAAACTCATATGACAAATTTGTTTTAACACACTCTAGTCAGATCGGTCAGATCGGTCGTTATCCCGACCCTTTGTGCCCCACGGTGGGAGCTGAAATGGACTGTTGTCGTTCAGCTCAGCCGGCGGCTAAGCTACCGTGCAGCCGCTCGCTCGCCCCTTGCCCCTTGGTAGGGTGGGGAGGAGAAATCAGAAGAGAAAGGTAAAACTCATGGGTTGGGCTAAGGACAGTTTAATAGGACAGCATGAAAAGAGAGAAAGGATAATAACAACAATACTCATAAAAGAATGATACAAAACGAGGGATACAATTTGCTCACCACCCAAGAACCAGAAGCCCAGCTTGGCCATGGTCTGCAATGCCCACCCCTGTCCCCTGCTAATATATATGGTATTGAATATGCCCCTGGCTAGTTTGGGTCTGCTGCCCTACTCAGCTTCCTGTGAAAAATTAACTCTATCCCAGCCAAACCCAGGACATGGATAGGGACAAAGCTGACTGAGTATTTTCAATCACCTTTCAAAAATCATGAGGCAAATACCTTGCTTGCTTGAAATCAGATCATTCCTCGGTTTTAGAAGGCCACTGTTTTCACTCAGCCTTTTCAAGTGTGACTTATCTTTGTATGTAAGTCTCGTGTACTGCCACTGTGCTGTTGCTGTCTTGATTTGCCAGTGATTCCTGCCACAAGTTGGTGTAGTATCATTTGTGGGTTTTTTTCCTCACAGAATAATTTTCAGAGCTACTAATATAAGCAGCTTTAGAGTGTGGCATGTTGTTCCTCTCCCTTCTTCAGCTGGAAGATATCTGCAGCAAGATCTTAAAACAAAACAAAAACAACAAAACACTAAAAAAAAAAAAGAGCTTTCCCTCTGATTTTACTTAAAACACTTTATTAACTGAGAGAGATGGGGTGCAGGTGGAAGGCTTGAATAGCGTTGGCATTACATGTCATGGGAGGTTGAACACCAGGGAAAGCTAGAGGATAGTCTGTCAGATTCATCTCTTTAAAGTATCAAAACAGAGAAACGTCTTTAATTGGTGAATGTCTAGTGATAAATCATAAAGTTAAGGAACTTACCTTCATAGTGCAAATTCTGGTTAAACTTTTCATTTCTGCCAGTGCACTGGAGGAATAAAGCAGCTGATGGAGATGGTTTCCCCAAGTGGGATTTGACATTCATGTTTAGCCCTTGTCTTAACACTGGAAGTTCATCTGGCAGCAGTTTGACTGCAGGTCTTGCTTGTGTGATTTTTTCCATACAATATATGTCCAATAAATGCCCGGGGCGGGGGGTGTGTGTGCGCGCGTATATATAAATATATATAGTACCTCAGTGCAGAAAATTCCTGTTTTTCACATGCCTACTCAGCTGCCCCTGAGTGCAGCTTTGCTTGTGCCTTCAGCCAATCCTGTTTAGTCTTGATGAGATTCAGTGTGGGTTTGATTGCAAGGTATTCAAGCAAGAGGACTTTCAAGGTGTGATTGGGAGAAATAAGGAAGGAACATCACCTGTATGTATATTATACGAGTCTGAGTGTCTTGATAGGAGCAGAAAACAACTGTTATGGCCAAGCATTGCTTTAGCTTCATAGTGTTGAAATAGCAGCAATATGCTCAAGATGTCTGTTTTAAGACAGAGAAACACATCATTACTTTTAGGATAGACAGAGGAGACTTTATTCAGTTGTGTAAGACTTAGTCTTGTGGAAGAGAAACCGCTCTGATCACTGTTTTGTCTAATGCTTGTCTATGTCAAGAGAAGGCAGAAATTAACTATTTCATCTCTTAGGGTTTAGGTGTGAGACTTCTTGTAAGACACAGCAAGGAGGTATAGGTCAGCATGAGTTTAGTGTCACCCTAATGAGGCTTGATGCTGCTTGGGTAGCACAAATACTAATTGACTTTTTCTACACTGTTTGCATTGTACTCTCCGCATATGGTAGTTGATAGAGTGTGCATGGATATGACTTGTCTAGTGAAGGTTGTCCATGAGGACACCAGAATCCACCACTAATGTACCTTTACAGAGAAGCTCCACTATACATGGTAGAAGTAAAGCCAAAAGGAAATTAAAACAAGTAACTTTGGGGAGTAGGGAGGTAGTTCAGTAAATTGTGCTGCAGTAGAAGAGAGCTCTGCAATTGTCTGTTGCACTCAGCCTTTCGTTTCAGGTGGTACTTGTGGAGTAAGGACAGCTGTGGCTAATGAGACACGCTGTATTACCATCTCAGCCATTGTGCCGATTGATACCAAATCAGTGGATGATGTATACCACACATATTCTTGTTTTTTTCCTGAAGGTTGTGAGTCTTTGGAGTCTGAACTGAACAAAACGTACAGAGACTTCAAGAAGAAGTTGACAGTCACCTATGTAACATACATCGTCATAGATACAGAGCAGGCAAAATCATCTTTCCATTCTCAGAATGGTACAAACGTCGTAAGTGTAGGCAAGGGAAACACCATGTATGGCTACGAAAACGGACCATTGATTCCACTTCGTTCATACAGGTATTTATCTCAAACCACTGTTTGGTTAATTTTACTGCAGCTGAAATCTAAAAGATCATCTAATGAAAAGATCACAGATCTTGTTTAAGATGTTAAAACCATGTCATATACCTGGCTTTTTTCTTCTCCCTTATCAACAGGGCAAGCGTTGCAGGTTTCACTAATATAACCTTTAATACGGACAACATCATTGTGGGGGAAGATAGTTATGTATCGTTTTCACCCTGTTCTGAGGCCGTTTTGCTACCCCAGGATCCAGGTATGGTTAATGTTAAATATAGGACTGGCAGCTTGGCACATACACACTGTGTAGAGATTCCTTAATTACGGCAAGTCTCGTAATAGCAAAACACCCATTGGTTTCTCTGTGATGGACTGTTCCTTTTTAGCTTTGCAGTGACACTGCTCTGTAAATTCATACCTTGCTAGTTCTGTAGGTGACCTACTTTTTTCCATGTATGACTCCTGCTGTGGACGTAACCAAAAGCTGTGCTACTCATGGCATGCTAAAAGGAGTTGGATGGCACAGTGAGACTTTGGTACAGAAACAAGTAGCGTAAAGCAGCTGATGTTCTAACAGCTCTGGTAAATTAGAAGCAGGTGTATTGGAATGCAAATACTGGTCCTTTGATCCCGATTTTTTTTTTTTAATTTATCACCCTTTTGTGTTTTATTGTTCTTAGTGAGCTTTCAATACTGGTACTGCCAAAGGACACAGTAAAGAGAAGACGTTTAGTAGAGCGGAGTGTGCTGTTACTCGCGAGGTTCTCTTGTAACATGTTGATTGAGTTTGATTGTTACCAAAGAGGTAAATCAGTAATGAATACTTGTTCTCTTTTATCAGGTGTTATTGCTGGAGCTGTTATTGGATGCCTTTTAGCTATATTGGCTGTAGTCGCTATAGGGGGTTTCATATTCTGGAGAAGGAGAAGGTAACGTGTTAATTATTGTATTTGTCATGATGAGTATTTCACTTCTGTATTTCCCCTAAAAAGTCCTCTCTGTTTTATACACTTCTGTCATGATGCTTTAAAATACATTCTATTAAAAATCTTTTTTGTATGTTACAGATTAGAGCTGATGTATCAAACTAGTTAAATGACTTTGTTCAACCCCATAGTTACAAACTTAATGAGTTAAGATTTATTTCGTTTAGCTCTTCTGAATTCGTGCATGCTGATGAAGTTATTCAGTCAGAAGTGAGCAAATATCACAAATTGTTGTGCTAAAAGACACATGTAATTGTATCTTAGTTGTTTTTATTTTAAATTATCCATTAATCATGCTTTTTAATTGCTTCATGGCCTGTCACATGAAACTTCCATTCCAGAGTTTCCAGAAGCTGACAAGCTGCTTAGGGTTTGAGCTGTCCTCTCGTTTTCCCATCTTTTCCAAATAATCTGGGATTTAAGAGTCCACAAAGGCTTTTTTCCTGCTTCTGATCATGTGGTACATCTTTAATACAGTTAGCTGTAGGGCACTTAGTCCGGTTTTCTTAGTTTCTTTGATTAACTGCTGTTATTTTTACAAGCATGTCTGATAGCTGCGGACAATAATGAGAAGAGTTTCCTTTAAAGCTAGGAACACTTATTTGCATTCAACTACTACTTTCAGTACCACTGACACATCACTGTTGAACACTTACTGTAGGGATTATGGGATTAGTAGCAGTTCTCAGTTCTCCTGAGCTGTTAGCTAGCGACGCATATCCCTCAGATGTGCTTCGTCCACCAAACTATGTGCTTTGTGTTCAGGCGTTGTGCTCCGGTTCCAACAGAAAGAAGCAGTCCCATTCCACAACGTCACTGAATGAAGGATGAAGTATTTTATTCTTACTCCAGGTGTAGGGTTTGCCTCAGGAGAGTTGTTTTGCACAGAATCAGATGCTTTAAAAGAAATTGTTCTGAACAGGCACAGGAAATAGCTGTCATTCAAAATCTCACACACATTCCGTTAAATTCTCCGTGAACCTGTTATGTTGTTTTCTTTCACCTTATAGGAAAGATAAAAGAAATACTGAAGTGTCCTTTTCTCCAATAAAGTAAGTCCACATCCTTTCGCACATTTTTTTCTGAGCTCAAGTGATATTTGCGAAACTTACTCTGAACCTCGATACTTGTTTTCGGTGCAGTTTTTAATAGAATTTTGCAGTATTAATTCCTCATGGAATTTACAGACTCCAGCCTGGAGACTGAAAATAATCATACTGATCAAGACTTCTACAGCTGCCGCAGGGATTTGAGTGCTGGCTTCATGAATTATCATTAGACACACAAATGCTCCATGTAGTTTTGGAAAACAGAATGTTCGAATGAAACGCAGGCCTCCATGCATATTGAGGAAACAATCCAAATTGTTGATAACGTGCACATAGGCAAAATTCTGCACTGGGGTGTGAATTTTCCTTTGCTTTGTGACTACTTTGTGCTGAGCCATTACTTCATATAACATTGAGACTGTAAAAGCTGGCCATGGGAGGGCAGCCACGATATGTTGGAAGTCACAGGTAGTGCAATTGAATCACATTATTGGTTCTTGCACCAATTTTTGTGCTGATGGAAAGGCATAGCTGGAGCATCCCATGAAGTCCCACCTGTGTAGGCTTTGATAGTTGACACAAAACACACCAGGGAATGGGGCCAATCTGATGGGTGCACAGAAGTGGCTGACTGACACCTTCTGTGATACTCTTCTCCTGAGAGGTGTGCTGTTTTCTCCTTGTGTTAACGGATAGTTACATGCTATGCTTGTATATCCTGTCCCCTGTAAATGCACAGTTTTGTGGCTGCTTTCATTCTTAGATTCACAAAGTGAAAAATACAGCTGCATGTGTCTAATCAATCTTTTTTTCTTCCCCCCACTCTGCCCTGAAGAGTCAAGAAGTAAGTAAATCCCACTTTCCAACACATTAACTGAATTCATGGTGTGTTTACCTAATACCAGTTACCAATACATGGCTTTTCTCATCATAGATCAAAAATGATTAAAGTGGAGAACTTTGAGTCCTACTTCAAGAAGCAGCAAGCTGACTCCAACTGTGGCTTTGCTGAAGAGTATGAGGTATGTGCCCTCAGTGGAGAGAGCTTCATGACAAACGTTTTATTGGGAAGGCAAATTAGCTTTCCTGTGGAGCGTACGTGAGACTTACTGAAGGGGAAGAGAGGGACCTTTATTATAGAGATTATTAAGCCAGATGTATAGCCTTCCCTTCCTTGGTTCAGCCCCAAATTTAGTTGAAGTGCATGATAAATACTTTATATCCTGAACCATTATCTTTACTTGTGAGCTTATATCATGACCTGCTGCACAGAGCTCTCACTGGAGCCAGGACCTCCAGAGTCCTTGCCCTAGTCGAACCGCGGAGTTAGCCTAGGGAAAGCTATTCAACTTCTCTGCACTTTGTTTTTTTTAATCTTTTTTTTTTGGTTTTTCTACACAAGACGACAAGTGTCGTGCTAATATTGCCGACTCCTTCAATGTGTAGGTGTGATTTGCAAACCACACCTGTGAATAGCTCAAAGAAGCAGTCAGAGAAACAGCAATTATGATTTGCTTGGTAACCATAACTGGTTTTCTATGAAATGTGCTAAAGCTCAATTGTAATAAAGTACAAAAGACAGGAATCAAGCATCAGTAAAGATTCTGTGTTGTCATGTCTGCTGTTAAAGAATCTCTTTTTTTTTTTTTCTTCTCCTTGAAGCTGTTAATTGACTTTCTTCTTCTTTCCAGATCAAATTCTTTCCCTTTCATTGTACTTTGCAGGCCAGTGCTCCACCTTCCTTCCTCTCAGATTTTGCTTCCTTCAGTCTTTTCATGAAGTACTTGCTCCCTTTCTCCCTGTAGTGTCTGCAAAGCTTGTGCTAAGTAGTTTACTGCCTTGGGGTTAGAATGAGTGTGCAGTTCATGTCAGTGTCCTGTATTTCTGCAAAACTGTTTCTGGGCTATTAAAGCCTATCTCTGGATTTTAAACACTACTTTTCCTACATTCTGTATTAATCCCTTCTTTATCAGGCTTGCCACTGTCACCCTCCCACTCTGTAAAAACCTGATTTTTATCATGGTTTATCCCAGTTCAACACGCCTGCTTTTACAGCAAAGGCCAAGAGTGTTTGGAGCATTTGTCTGTTTGTCATGTGTTTCTGTTTGATTCCTAAACCAGGACCAGGTGCTCATGAATCCTTTTTTTCTAGGAACTCAAGTCTGCTGGTGTTCATCAGCCTAAATTTGCTGCTGAACTCGCAGAGAACAGAGGGAAAAATAGATACAACAACGTCTTGCCATGTGAGTTTTTCTCTTAGGATTTGCATCTTCTGCTGGTGGAGTTTTTAGGTGAAAAGCCTTTGGTTTGGCTAATCTGGCTTTAATAGTACCCAGAGGTTTCAAAGAGGGATTAATGTAGTCCATTTCCAAATGAATGAATTTGAGCTGCTCCTTTCCCAAAAATCACAGTGTAAGCAAACCTGAAGAGCTTTCCCTCAACAATGTTACCCAAAGTTCCCAAACTTTCCTTCAAGAAAGCTCCTTAAAGAACTTTCCCTTAATTAACTAATTTTAATTTTCCATTTGTAAGAAACTTGCGGTCCATATTGAAAAAAAAAGCGGTTAACAGATGACTAGGGACAGGCAGATGTGGAGAGCTAAGAGAAACATTAAGACCCTGCTGACCAGCTTTGCAGATAAACTGGTTGCCTCAGCCCTGCCGAGCTGTCTGTGGGCACCCCGATGTAGCAGAGTGTAAGAAGGAATTGGAAGGTGAACAGTGACAGATACTTAGGGATGGTTTGGAGGAAAAACATCAGCTGCAATGGCAGCAGGAGACAAGTTACCTACAAGTTGCCTGTTTTTCTTCAGTAGTTAAAACTATATAAATTTTGTACTGAATTGAAAATATATGAATATGCAAAAACAAACCATGTTTTAGAACAAAAAACATCTCCATGCATTGAGTATTGTGCATTTTTATCCTGACCACTCATTTTTCTGAAGACTTTCATTATAAAACTCTGAACTCCCATTTATGATCCCTAAAGTTAGATTCTTATTCTTAAAATGCACATTGTTCTGAAACACCTTTTGTTTAGAAACCATGCATTAGATAAGCAGTATTTTGCTGAAAGTTTCTAGTTCTAAAATTCACAATTTTCTTTTTCTTTTTTTTTTCTGCAGATGATATTTCTCGTGTTAAACTTTCAGATCAAGGCTCTACAACTGATGATTATATTAATGCAAACTATATGCCTGTAAGTTGCTTCATTAGTTGAAGTGAAATATTATGTGTATTTTTATGATATAGGCCTAACATATCATAATTAAAATTGGCTTTTTATGTCTCATTGATGCCAGTGTGTCTGTGTATATAAATATTTATTTGGATTTCTTCTTCTTGTTCTTAGGGTTATATCTCAAAGAAGGCATTTATTGCTGCACAGGGTCCTTTACCCAACACTATAGAAGACTTCTGGCGCATGATTTGGGAAAAGAATATCTACTCTATTGTTATGTTGACAAAATGTGTTGAACAAGCCCGGGTATGTTTTTATCAAAAAGGAACTGTCTCTTGAAGACAGTTGGATCTCTTCTAATTTTGTTGTTACCCTAGGAGGCTGGAGACTGACCACTTTCTTTTAACAAACATCCACTTACTGGAAGACTATTTTCTAGATTAAATAAGCCACTTTTTTTTTTTTTTTAGCTTTTTCCCATTTTTATATCTGCTGACTACCAGAATAGATTGTCTCAGGAGGGCTGAGAAATCGCAGTCTTTAAGGGTGGGTTCTTGGGAGCATGACGTGCTTTCTAGCCCTGGTTCAGGTGGTGTGTTATTTAAAGCTAACAGTCAGTTCTGGTGTTGCTGTGTGTATCGTGTCTAGCCTTGTAACTCTCTTCTCAGACAAAATGTGAGCAATATTGGCCAGACAAACAATCCAAGAGCTATGGTGACATTATTGTGACAACAGTCTCGGAGATTGTCCTTCCAGAATGGACAATAAGGGACTTCACTGTAGAAAAGGTGAGTAACCCCTCAGTTGTTAATTGGATACAAATGTCTCTAGAAGTGGTTTATCATATCACTGTGACTTCACATGTCAAGCAACACTGGAGTGACAGAATATAATAATTTCACTAAAACATAATCAAATTCAAAGTTATCTGAGGGAAAAGGATAAAAGTGGTTTAATTTAATATGAGGCTTTGAATGTATTGGTCTGCTTTCTGCCAAAAATCTGATTTAAAATCTTTCATGCTACTTACTGACAATGAGATTCCTGTGATACTTACGTATCTGCATTTGTTCATATGCCCTGGCTTCTCACAACAGTGTGTTAGTAACATACTCGGAGGTGGGAATGAGTTGTCAGTAAGACATTCCCTGTGGCAGGAAGGGATCCGCCAGCAAATTCCAGCCTGCTCATGGGAATTACTGATTCCCCATCAGTCATCTGCAGCTCCTGTTTCCCTGAGACTTGCACCAAAACCTGTGCTTATGCAGATACTTGCAATGTCTGCTAGACTGAGCAATTAGCCCCGTCTCTGCCAGCAAATGTAATGCAGCAGAGATGGTCTTGGAGTAAAGTGAAAAGTAAAAGGAAACTATTTCCAAGTATCCTCTACCAGAGCAGAAGGAAAAGGGGAACTGAAATATCGTTGATCAAATTACTGCACAGTTGGTAACAGGCGTCTTTAATGAAGTGGAGCTTTGCCCAGTATATATGGCAGGAGGCCTTACTGTTGCTCCTCTGAAGCTGGTTTTCTTTTTTTTTTTTTTTTTAACTGTGTGTTCCTCTAGTCCAACACACTGGAGAGCCACACCGTGCGCCAGTTCCATTTCACCTCCTGGCCAGATCACGGGGTGCCAGAGACAACAGACCTTCTCATCAACTTTAGGCACCTTGTTCATGAGTACAGCAGTCAAAATCCAATCGACTCTCCTACTCTGGTGCACTGCAGGTAGGAAGAACGTGTTTGTGTTAGACACACTTTTATCCTGTGTCTTTTTTAAGAACAATTCTTTTCCAGTGTCATTTAAAAAAAAAAAAAACCAACAGCAAAAAAACCCCAAACCAACATGAAAAAAAGAAGTCTCTGCTTCAGGACACAGGGTATTCACCCTGTGGAATTAAAACCTTTGGCTCCTGGTTCAGAAAAATAGCAATGCTATGTAGGTAGCAAAGCGTGTGATAGAAAATTTCATTAGAACAGACCTGCTTTCCCAGCCTGCAAAACTTCGCTGAAGAAAGTGGCTTTTCAAGCGCTTTTATGTAGGATCTTGTGACAAGTGCAAGGCTGGGAAGCCCAGAAGCACGTCCTCTCTCCCTCGTGATGGCGGCAGGAACCATTCCTCTGGACTGCAGAGACTCGTAGTGCCCGTGCCACTGAAATGATGGAAAGCACCTGACTGGCTTCACTGGCTTTTCATGAGGCCGCTGGTGAGCAGGCGGCTGAGAGAAGGCAGTAACGAGCTGCCCCGTGTCGTTGCAGTGCTGGTGTCGGCAGGACGGGGACGTTCATTGCCATTGACCGCCTGATCCAGCAGATCGAAATGGAGAATACTGTGGATGTGTACGGAGTGGTGTACGACCTCCGCATGCACCGACCTTTAATGGTGCAAACTGAGGTAAGGCTGTCTTTCATCCCGCAGTGCGTAATAATCCAGGAAAAGTGGATTCAAGATGTAGCTCAGAATTACAGGAAGAGGAGATATTAAGGAGCAATCTGAAACTGTTCTTTATTTAATGTCCCTGCTTCCTGCATCATCTTCTTCCTGCAACAGTAGCTGCAGCCAGGGGCTGTAGTATGTCCAAGCAGTCTCTTTACAGAGTACTTTATTAGACTGACATTTGCAGCTGGAAAGAATCAAATCCTGAAAAAGTTTTTTTTTGCAGCTTGTTTGACCCATGTGAGTTTAATCTTTATAGCCGAGAGCCAGAATTAACTTGAGTCAAGTGTGTGCATCTTTCCTTCTGTGTTCTGCAGGAACACAGGT